GGAACCTTTTGCTATGAATACTTCCACCACCTAAAAGGCCTTTTCCCCATGTCCAAGACCCTAGCCAGTCATTTGAACCTGTGTCTAAGACCTCCTGATTAGTTAGTGGTGACACCCCATATGTGAACTCTAGCATTTAGAGGCTGCCATCATGGTGAAGAGATGATAGGATTGAGAGAAATAGCATGCGCATCTTTCGCATCAAATTGTCCTGACCCCACTGGTCGAGAGTGAGTGATTCATTTTCATTTTCTATATGCTCTTGTACCCCGGTGAGGACCTAGATTGCTCGGTCTCTATTCTGATGTTTTGAGTTGGATACATGAGTTGACTGTTTTGAGTAAGTGGTTGAATCAAGTCTAGGTTGGCCAGTGAACAGGAGGGAGACTCTTCCTTTACTCGATTTGCTGCACTCGAATGTCCTTTGTGGTGGTTGTCCAGGTTGTTATTGAGGTTGTGCATGTATTGATGTTTGAAAACCAGTGCGATTCACGTGTTTTGTGCCTTTATGACTTGTCCCCAATGTTGGTTGATTGAAATATGTAAGCTTACCTAGTGTCTGACTTGGTTTGCTTGGGGACAAGCAAACGGTTAAGTGTGGGGGAGTTTGATAGACCGTCATTTACACATGTTTTTACCCTCATACTTACACCGTTTGAGGTGTTGATTCTCGTGTTTTAGGCCGATTTCACGCTAGGTTGTGCTTGGTTGTGTTATTTCAGGTCTTAGTACGTGAATGAAGGCTTAGGAGCGAGTCTGGGGTCGATTGGACGAAGAACGGACGAAGGGCGAGCTTTTTGGAGGAGTGCACGGGCAGACCAGGAGGCTGCACGGCCGTGCACTTGAGCCATTTGGCCGTGCGCCTCACGCCGAGGCCATGCACGGGCACAATCCAGGCTTGCACGGCCGTGCGCCTGGCCGTGCAAGAAGGCTAAGCTTGTTAAGTGAAACGGTGCGTTTTGATGGTGCACGGCCAGAATGGTGATGTGCACGGCCGTGCACCTGCCCGTGCACCTCGGGGAAACCGGTTTTAATGCCTAATCCGAGCCAAAAGTGGAGAGAATCGTGTTTTCAGAGCAAAAACAGAGCCCTAGAGAGAGAAAGTGCGAAGAACTCATCCTAGAAGCCGTCTAAGAGCTGGATTTCATCGAATCGAGCCTGGAGATCGTCATAGGAGTGAAAATCATCGTCCCGGAGCAGATTATCCTCATCGTTATGAGTATGACTAATCCGATTCTTGTTTCCTCTTCTCTCTCTATGGAGTAGAACCTTTCTCTCACTTGGGTATGAAGAACCCTAGTTCCTTGTGTTAGGGATTTGATTGTAATGACTTGGGATGATATTATTGTTTGATTTTAATTGAATGACGCATGTTTCATGAATTGATTTGAGTCTGATCAGCTTGTCTCAATTTCTGCTTCAACCTGAGATAGATAGAATCTGATTAGGTTGTTAGAGCCTCTTCATTCGATAGTAGGAGATTGGCTATACGAGAGTTAGCCAGTTTACTGCTTTGTACTGGTGTTCTTGACGCCAGTAGTGGAGTTCTGTGTTCATAGCCTCAGCTTTCTATCCCGGTGAAGACTAGTCGTCTGCCGGGTAGTTAGACTGAGAGGGCTTGGTCAGCTTAAGAGATTCCAAGCTACTGTCGGATCTTCCGCAGTCTAATCAACAGTAAATCAACCCAGGAAATTGCAATTGAACCTAACTAAGGGGCTAGGGGGACTCAATCCCGAGTGACTCTTACCTGCTTTTGAAAACCGAACCATTTCCTGCTTTCTTACTGCTTTTGCTTTAAACAACAATCACTCGAATTAGTTTGCTAGATAATAGAGAATCACGGAGTAAGCAGTAGATCTAGACCCCGGGTTGATAATTAAACTTGCCTGTTACTGCATTCCCGGACTGCGATTACACTTGGTCGCAGTTTGGTGTTGTGTTTTGGCGTGTCATTTGTACATTTAGAAACTTTTCACTGGAATTAAACATTAGGTACATAATATTATTTTGTATTGCAAAGCGGGTGTTGCCATACTAAAGCAGCAGTACATATTAGTTGCTGTCAAATTGATTAATTACTGTTTTGCATTGAATGTGATGTAAAAGAGTGCCATTTGGTGATGGTGGGGCAACTGAAAGTTATGTAAATGCTTGTTGGAAGTGGTGGAGATATTGACATTGTCCCCTTAAAAATGCAGTATAAAAGTAGTGCTAATTAAGGAGCCAAAAGAGTTGGAAAGCAGGATCACATGTTATGCAAGTATTCACAAGAGTAGAGGCAATATGGTAGATAGGTGATAGCAAAAGTCTTACATTTTAACACTTGTTCCCAGACTAATGAAGTAGAAGTTTTTTGTTTGGTAACATCTTAAGACAGTTTTTATTTCACAGGTAGGGTATTTTTTCATGGACACCGTTAATCTATGCTGGTGAGAATCCACTGGCGTGGATGATGATGTTGCTGGGTGGGTGATCCGTGTCTGTGTTGCAGTTTGCTTGGGCTATTGTTGAAGCTGGTTGTGGCCGACTACAGAAAGGATAGTAAACTCCAGGGGAGTCTGAGGCAAATATCCAGGCGTAGGGAGTTGAACGTCATAATGAAGCATGCGGAACCAGTAGTGTCTCCCACCGCTAAATGGATTTTGTAGCTGAAAAAATGTGTCAGATATTAAGGGTTTAATTGATTTTGGAGCTCGTAATGGGAAAAAACTGTTTGATGCTAAACTGACCAATTTTGGGTTTCCTGAGGTATCAATTGGCCATGCTCTTCACACCAAAAATCAGCACTACCTGGAAACTCCCTAGCTGTATTAGAACAAAATGCACATCCTAACTAAAACCATGGTGTGAAGACTATGCGGAGAAAATGTGGCGGAAATGGTTAGTGTAGTCTGATTATGGGATCAATTCGAGTTCAATTGTTATAAGTTAATTAATTAGAACCTACAAAAAAGGCTCTGTGGTTAGAAACAAATTCGCAACATCGGGTTAAACTCGCTTTAACTGGGTCGAGGGAATGATGATAAAGCTCGCCACAAAATCCAAAAGCAGAAACCCAAAACATTTGCAAGGAAAGACCAATCAAACCCGTGTTGAATATGGTTGAATACAATTCGGTAACATAGGGTTCAAATCGCTTTAACCAGTTCGACATTAGGTCGAAAGGAATGGACATCGACTTAAGCTTGCAAAACTCGTTGAGCCAAAATTCGTCAACACCGGGTTCAACTTGCTTTAACTGGGTCGATGTAGGGCGAATACCGATTGATTTGGGTTCAATATGGATTCAATTGTCATAAGTTAATTAATTAGAACCTTAATGTAAAGAACTCTTTCAAGTTTTGGTTAATTTAATAAATTTAAGCGTGAAAAACTCATTGTTGAGGCAAAATTCGGCAACATCGGGTTAAGCTCGCTTTAACCGGGTCAAAGTAGGCCGAATGTCAATTTATTTGGGTTCAATTTGAATTCAATTGTCATAAAAAATTAATTAGAACCTTAATGCAAAAAAGGCACCACAAACTTTGGTTAGTTACAAAAAGAAACCCCTTGTGATGGGACACTATGCAATAGTAATTTGGCTACTTGTTCTTTTATAGAGATAATAATAATAATAATAATAATAACTATGGAAACCGCGCTCCGCGACGGGATTTTTAAGTTTGCCAACAAATTTAACTATATGTTCTTATGTGTAAACTTATCAGTTGCATCCATTTATTCCAATTTGATAACAAATGTTGGACACATATGGTAATAATCTAGTGTAAGTTGCAAGAAAATTGCACTGGAAAGATGGTTATGTGGCTGAGCAATAATTCATTCATGTTTTGCTATGAAACGATAAGCTAACCAAAAATGTAATATCCAAATCGAGCTCTACTCGCAAGCTATATCACAAAAGTAACATGGGTAATGTGAATAAAATGCAGAGTCAGTGAAATCGATAAAACAAACTATACAAAAAATGTAAAAGTAAGACCAAAAAATAATCCTTCCAAATGAAAGAAGGACACCATTGTCAACTCAGACTTCAACTTTGCACAAACCAGATTCCAAAGACTAAATAAATCTAACAAAAAAAAGCACATAATATAAATTATCTGTAAACAGGAAAATACGAAATTGTAGCAGTCTAAAGAGTGACCCAAATCCGTGGAATTTGAGTTTCCCCATTGAATCCTCACTGTTTCCTTGCTCCTGATCGCCATTCAATGGCTTGTCATTCTTTCTTTTTTGGCTTCTTCTTTTGTATCGTCCCCTTCCTCCTGAGAAAAGAACACTCATAAGCTATATTCGAAATTGATTTCCACTACTGATTCGTGAAAGAAAGACTGCTAGCTAAATTTAGAATGAGGTCAGTTTAGAACATGTAAAATAATGCATCATTGAAACCTCTAACAATCTTCCCATCACAAGCATGCTAACACCATCTAACATTGCTAAAAAAAACTCATTTCAATCTCGATCATTCATGTCTATATGATATCCTAGATGCTTAAGGTTGCTAATACGCAGCAAGATAGGATGTTGGGTTCCAAATGGCTAAAAAAAACCGAACAAAAATCTCGAAAACAAATCAAGCAAAAGAGAGCATAAATTTGCTCCCCTTCGTCCTACCTATGTATCTTGTTTTAGACACTCTTCTATGAAACTGAGGCCGCAAACACTTCTATAATTAATTGGGGTAAATAGCATAAGAGAAAAGAGTTGTACCATCAAGTGGCACAGAGAAATAAAATCAAAACAACGGGGAATTTAGACACCACCGTCAATCATATTTAGCTAAATTTAAATCCAAGGCATGAAATCTATAATCTAATGAAATAAAACATACAAAGGTACATGTAAAATAAAAAAAGAGGATTGCTTTGATTGTAAAAAGTATTTTATCCAAAGCAACTGTTAGACTGCAAGTCAATCTTATTCTGAGTGGCTGCATAAAAAGCAGCTAAAAAACTCGAGAGTTTGGAATCGGAACACTACCTTGGGTTACAAGTTACAACATTTATGGAAACTGGATAAATCAACTCTCCTCATGCATCTCAGATCCATTAACACCAAGGCTGCGCTCTGCTACTTAATTTGTGGAAGGCACCTGTAGCAGCAAATGGGATGTGTCAAATGGGATATTATAAGATTAGAATAAAACTTCTGAATAAGAAAGCGTGTATATAGGGAGAAAAAACACCAAATATTTGTACGCATATACTGGAAGGTCGAACAATGAGTACAAATTGAGAACACCCTCTTCAGGCTCAACTATCACACTTTCGACCATTATTGAAGCGCGAAGAAAGAATATAATGAGGTGCATAAGAAAAAAAATTCAAGCATAAGAAGTGCTCACCACTACTGGCTGCTTCGTTGTTCTTTTGGCAGCTTCCACGGGGAAGAGTAACAATAAGCTTAACACTATATATCCATGGAGGATGGAGACTTTGATGATGCAAAATCCCACCAATATCTTCCTCTGACCTAATGCAATTGGCTCCAGCATTATCAGCTACCATTGATATCCTCGCAAACTGAGAATGGTAATAGCAGAGAACAAAACAAACAACTGTGAAAACTGAGCAATACGAATGCAGGACCAAAGAAAATGAACAAAGCAGTAGCGCCAGGGTTCATGTTTGTTCGCCGGTGATGGCCATCCCTCGTTTGCGAATTCTTTCTCCCCCCTCACTTATTCTCTCTACTTCCTAAGTTGTCCCAAACCCGGCCGCCTTAACAAAGAACAGTGAGACATCAATTAACAGAAGGGCAATAATTAAGTGATTCAAGAGATAAAGGATAATGGCACTTAGTTTTGCTATGGTTAAGTGACTTTAATAGTGCTTATGGATACTAAAATTAACTGGAAAATGCAGAAATACAGGAGATATGTATTAATTGAATTTTGTGTCCGAGTAAAAAAAAAACTTCTCAAGGGTCCTAGACTCCTAGTGAATTACCATGCTCTTATCTGTCAAAATCTGAGATCCTCTACAATGTTGGATCATTGTATTGCTGCTACTTATGCTAGCTGTATGGTTCCTGCTGCAGCTGGCTTACTTTTTATGTTGTTGTGCAGCAATAAAATCAGAACTGTGATATCAGTAATGGAATCATCCAATTCTACGAATAAAGAAAACAAAGTCAATGAGAAATGGTCAGGACATTGATCTTAAGAACTCAGAAACACATGGTTTCTCAGCTACAAACAACAAAAGGCAGAAAGAGGGAAAAATTCATAGAAAAGATGGTAAAAAAGAAAAAACACCCAAAAACTCGATGCGTTCTTGATCTTTTCCTTTGAATCATATCTACTTATGCCCATTTCTCTATTGCAGAATGACAGTTAGCATCCGGCAAAAGTCTGGACTTTCACTAATTTTTGGAAATATGGTCGTGTCTTTGCACACCAGAGTATGAATCAGGCGACTAAGAAGAGGTAAACTACACAAATCAAACTCAATAAGGCAAAAAAATATCCTGACTATGAGAAATCCCAGACACTACTTCAAAAGGTCGCTTAATCTAAATCACCACAAGTCTAATTGATAGTTATGGATAAACTTACATTCAGAAAGCATGCAAGGATAATAAGACTATAACAGATAAAAAAAACATACTGAATAAAGTCAGATTGAATGGTCAAACTTACTTATATCGGATCCTGCAACATTACGATTGTCCGGATTTGTACTGTAACATATACATACCCAAAGACAACCTAATCTCAATCACAACCCCTAGAAAAGCACCACTACATATTAAAAACCCTGGCTAAGCCTCACACTAAGTAGTTACAAAAAAGGGTGAGATGTATACTGCAGATACTGAATGGATTACGCCAGACACTGGAGTTCATGGTAGATCCAACCATTATCGTTTGCACAAATTTACATTAGAGAGAAGCATATTCTCAATACTCAGAACGAAGATGAACCAACTGATAACTCTATCCTGATAGCCTCGGCTAAATGTGGTGATCTACTGGGTATGACTCTTAAAATGCAAACACACTTGCATAAGCAATGACAATAGGTTGAAGGAAGGAAATACATGGCAAGTAGGAAAATAACCAGGAAGGAGAAGAAGAGAACATAATCTACGTGGAATTCCACTATAGGAAAAAAGGTCAACCTCTGACCTGACCTCTTCTTCGTGTTCTCTCAACAGAAATTGCAACTCAGAATATGTCCCAAACTCGAGATTATATATAAACCAATGGAATCTGAAGACAGAAAAGGTAAAAAATACAAGCTCTGTATCTTGAATTTGGAATTGAAATATACACCATATTATACAATCCATGTCTCTGATGGCAATAATGTGTAGGAGCTTTCCACCCAAAAAAAAGATAAACTGCAGTTATGCTAGTAGAGTAATGAAATATAAGGAGAGTAATTCCAGAAGTAGACATAAGATCATACTTAACCATTTTGACTGTTTGAGCAAATTCCAAATATAAAAGTTTATTCATGATATGTTATCTAGCTAGATAAAGCAACATCGGAAGACGGAGAAGAGGAAGAGTGCATTACCTTTTTGTGGTTTCTTCAGAGTTACACATTAGCTGAAAGATCCCTCATACATCAACTGATCGATCCCACCATGGTGCATCTTTTCCCCAATGGCAAATCATGCATCCTGACACGCCAAAACACAACACCAAACTGCGACCAAGTGTAATCGCAGTCCGGGAATGCAGTAACAGGCAAGTTATATTATCAACCCGGGGTCTAGATCTACTGCTTACTCCGTGATTCTCTATTATCTAGCAAACTAGTTCGAGTGATTGTTGTTTAAAAGCAAAAGCAACAAGAAAGCAGTAAATTGTTCGGTTTTCAAAGTCAGGAAAGAGTCACTCGGGATTGAGTCCCCCTAATTCCCTAGTTAGGTTCAATTGTAATTCCCTGGGTTGATTTACTGTTGATTAGACTGCGGAAGATCCGACAGTAGCTTGGAATCTCTTAAGCTGACCAAGCCCTCTCAGTCTAACTACCCGGCAGACGACTAGTCTTCACCGGGAAAGAAAGCTGAGGCTATGAACACAGAACTCCACTAATGGAATTGAATTCCAGTACAAAGCAGTAAACTGGCTAACTCTCGTATAGCCAATCTCCTACTATCGAATGAAGAGACTCTAACAACCTAATCAGATTCTATCTATCTCAGGTTGCAGCAGAAATTGAGAAAAGCTGATCAGACTCCAATCAATTCAATAAACATGCGTCATTCGATTAAAATCAAACAGTAATATCATCCCAAGTCATTACAATCAAATCCCTAACACAAGGAACTAGGGTTCTTCATACCCAAGTGAGAGAAGGGTTCTACTCCATAGAGAGAGAAGAGAAAACAAGAATCGGATTAGTCATACTCATAACGATGAGGAAAATCTGCTCCGGGACGATGATTTCCACTCCTATGACGATCTCCAAGCTCGATTCGATGAAATCCAGCTCTAAGACAGCTTCTAGGATGTGTTCTTCGCACTTTCTCTCTCTAGGGCTCTGTTTTTGCTCTGAAAACACGACTCTCCCACTTTTTGCTCAGAATAGGCTCTAAAACCAGGATTTCCCGACTCGCACGGCCAGGGTGCACGGCCGTGCAGATCACCCACTTGGCCGTGCAACTCAAAACGCAGCGTGTCGTTTAGTTCGATCTTAGGCTTCTCGCACGGCCAGGGTTGCACCTTGCACGGCCGTGTGATTTCTATGGCTTGCCCGTGCGTGGCCTCGGCAAAAAGCGCACGGCCATCTTGCTCACGTGCACGGTCGTGCGGTGCCATGGTCTGCCCGTGCAGCTTCCTTGAACCCTCGCCATTCGTCCGATCTTCGTCCAATCGGCCCCAGACTCGCTCCTAAGCCTTCATTCACGTACTAGGACCTGAAATGTCACAAACAAGCACAACCTAGCGTGAAATCGGCCTAAAACACGAGAATCAACACCTCAAACGGTGTAAGAACGAGGGTAAAAACATGTGTAAATGGCGGTCTATCAAACTCCCCCACACTTAATCGTTTGCTTGTCCCCAAGCAAACCAAGTCAGACACCAGGTAAGCTTACATATTTCAATCGACCAACATTGGGGACAAGTCATAAAGGCACAGAACACGTGAATCGCACTGGTTTTCAAACATCAATACATGCACAACCTCAATAACAACCTGGACAACCACCACAAAGGACATTCGAGTGCAGCAACTCGAGTAAAGGAAGAGTCTCCCTTCTGTTCACTGGCCAACCTAGACTTGATTCAACCACTTACTCAAAACAGTCAACTCATGCATCCAACTCAAGACATCAGAATAGAGACCAAGCAATCTAGGTCCTCACTGGGGTACAAGAGCATATAGAAAATGAAAATGAATCACTCACTCTCGACCAGTGGGGTCAGGACAATTTGATGCGAAAGATGCGCATGTTATTTCTCTCAATCCCTATCATCTCTTCACCATGATGGCAGCCTCTAAATGCTAGAGTACACATATGGGGTGTCACCACTAACTAATCAGGAGGTCTTAGACACAGGTTCAAATGACTGGCTAGGGTCTTGGACATGGGGAAAAAGCCTTTTAGGTGGTGGAAGTATTCATAGCTAAAGGTTCCACATTTTCCAAACACACAATCACAGTCAAACAAACCGGTATTTTCTTTCTGCTATTCTGCATTACTCAATATCTCAAGAGCACAAGAGCGAAGGAGGCATAAACATCAGCATTTCCAAGCTAGACTGCTAAGAAACACTACTTAATGGGCATTATTCAGATTTTTTGTAGTGACTCTCTTTTGCTTTCAATTTTTCTTTGTTTTTCTTTCATTTTTCTTTTCATTCCTTAAGAGAGCCACCACTTCTGCATAAATTTCAAACACCTGCCCAACTTTTAAGAACTACCTCCAACACTCACATAGACTTTAGCAGAAACAGCAGAGAATATGTAAAAACCACTCTGTGGAACCTTCTAAAAGATGCAACAAGGGTGATTTTTTCCGTTACGGACCAAAAGAAAGGATAACACACGGCTCAAAGGGGCTGACTAGGGGATATGACACATCAGGACAGTCAGTTTTGGGCGTGGGCTAATCCTATGCCCCCATCATTTTAGCTAGTGACAACGTGAATGCTACACATCATGGAAGAGGGATCTATCGCACAAGAAAGAAACGAGCAGGCTCAAATCTCACATGGCTACCTATATTCTCTATCTCACATTCTGATACCCTGAACTAGATGCATAAACGACTGTCAAGAACAAGTAATCAGACCAAGTCATAGTTGGCAAGCAAACAGTTGAAAAACTGAACCCCTACATCGTTCTACTGCACATCTCAGTCCTCATCATAGGTTGTCCTAGTCGCAAACAAGTTGTCATGCATTCGGCCAAAAACCAATCAATTCATCCATCAAAACACAGTGCCAATATGATCAAACAGCAGTACTTGGAGCCCTCAAATCGTAAGATTCGGACAGCGGACTAGGCTCCAAGCACCAAATAAATATTCCAACCGATACAAAGCATCCCCCCACACTTAAGCACGACATTGCCCTCAATGGAGTAGAGGGAGAGAT